CGACTTCCTCCGAATTCTCAACGGGGGAATCCGCTGTTCGTGGCGGGAGCGGTGTGTGGTGCCCAGTTTATGAGGGCTTAAATTGTGCTTCCGGTGAAGCCGCGGACGTACCGATCGGAGTTGCCTGCGTGCAGGAGACGAAAAAGGGCTCTGCCCTCGGGCGCCCTAAAAACCAGCGCGATTGAGTGTTTTTCGTGTCATACACATTGAGCTCATTGAGCAAGAGAATGCGTGAAGATTGGTCCTAAGGGCGTAACGGTATCTCAGACACGCGAGCTTCCTTCGAGGCGACAATTTTATGTGAATCGTGTGTATTCGCAGTTTTGGTGGGGTTACACGTACCACGGTATGAAATGATGGGTCACACAAGGTGGTGTGACCGTACAAAGGTGTGGGTTACACAACTTGGTGTAATCAAACCATGATATAGCTACACTGTAACAGAAGCCACTACGTGGCAAAACGGCCAGTAGTTATGCATTTTTAATTAGGTGTTACTAGTTAATTTTGAATTTGAGATATAGGCGGCTCTGCCGCAAATAAAACAAATAAATTACTACTTCAGTCGATTTATGGCTCAAAATATTCGATCATTGCCATGCCTAACATGCGGTCGCATCTGAAACTCAGGTTAGGATAACAAAATCTCATATGGTATCAATTCCTCAAAATGACTGTCCGTAATTGGCAATTTTAGCGCTGTCTACAAAATTTGACATATTCACGCGACGCTAAGAGTCTTTCGGAAATTCTTTGCAAATTCATGAGGCCCGGAGGGTCGATCTTGATAATTCACCACGGTAGTTTGTAGGATCAGAAGAAAGTGCTGCTCTTCTAGGGGCTGGTTTTCGGTCACCAGAGCCGCTATCTTGTACTGTTGGTCACATCCTCGACAAAAATAGTAAAACTCTGTCTGCTTTCGGTTGCGAGTGTCTTGACGTTTTCTCGTGAAAAGTCTGTCGGTCAACTCTGCGTGGGAGCACAAATATTTGCAGATATTTGCTAGGACCACAGATTTGAATTTGCGATTACCACAGTTCTGGTCGGCGGATCAGAGATTTTTTCCTCCTCAGTATGGCTGAGATCTGTCGCTCCTGTCGACTTCGTCAAGAATTCAACTCCGGAAATCCGACTTACCCTCGGGGCTCGCAGATCTTTCCTCACATATCCAATGCGAAACCTGCCGCTACCTATGAAGCCGTGGGGCTACCGTTGCCGGATTTGGTGACAGTGACCGCATTCATGGTGATGAGAGTGGTCAACTCATACAAATATACCGCTAATTCTTACCTCCTTCAGCGGGTGAAAGAAAAACTTGATGACACACAAATAACCTGGTTACGCGGTGCGAACACCCACGATATTTGTTTCTCAAACTTTTCTGCATAAGTACTGCACGGAAGGGGCCAACACATCGTGCGCTGCTTTCTAGCATAAAGTCGCTAGCGCGACGCGCTGAAGCTTCGTCTGGTATTTCATCTGGAAGAAGATGAATCCCGGCTCTGCCCTCAAATGGCTGGATGTCTAACATAAGCGGCCCCACATTACGAGCTATGTAGGCTTTCACCAATACTTGGCGGATGCGATCCTGAAGCTGTATCACCAGCGAACTCTCATTGCTTGTGAGTACCTACAGACGAGCGATCATCCTTTCGGCCCTTGGGCCGCCAATTAGCCTTCCAATGCCAGACATGGGCTCAAAATTTAGTTGGTCATCGATCCGACGATCGGATTAGTTTTGTCTCTACTTTCAATATAGACTTAAAAACTTGATCGTCGGATTGACGACAATTGCTTTCAGGCACAACGGAGTTGCCGCGCAACTTGCACTGAAACATCTCCGACTCAACAAGTAAGGGTTAAGAAACGTGCAGGGAATGGATTATGGACGCTTTACACAGAAGCATGTCCGAAAGTCTCTTTTTTTCT